AATTGATACCTGTATGCAGTGAAGATTTTCAAACCATGATGATAAAAAACATTATTGGAAACAATCGATCTATCCGATTGATTAATTTAACAAAATATCAACGATTATAAGTACTTCGGCTTTGGATTCGATGAACTTAGGCAAGCAGGAGGCAATTAACATTCGAAAAGCGTGACATAGGGAAAATTCAAAGCATGAGTGGCAACGTAGGATATCTTAGGCTCAGATTCGAATTCTTTGTTAGGGCTGATTTGCTCGGGAAAAGTTCTTTCAATACTACTCTAAATGGACCAAGTAGAACTTGACGAATTCTAACACATGGTAAAAACTGTTCATAGATAGATCCTATTATGATCGAGAAAGATCCATGATGCTGCATTTTCTCCTATTGAAAAATTTTAATAAAACAGTAATTCTTCGGTCAATTCGTTAAGAAGTCTGTTTTAACTACAACTCTACAAGCTAACTGAAATAGTGAAAAACATTTTCCATTAAAATATTCGTATTTTTAGAAACCGTTATTTGACCAGTTTAGTTTTCCCTATTGGACAGTATTTCCAGGACTCGCCAAAAGACGATCTTCAAAAAGCGAAATATGGTTTGGAAAAGCCATTCTCGTCACTCGATAGCGCTCATCAAGTCGCATCTAGCTAGATCAAATTAAAGTGATATTGGAAAGATCTGTGGGCAATTCTGCCCTTAAAAAGATCAAATCTGGACGTAATACATCCTACGTGAGGTGACAAGTGTGCACTTGTAGTAAACGAACTAATGATCTCTGTACTTAACTTTGGATAGCGGCTGAAATTATCTTCCGTGTCGAATGGAGCTTTTCAGCATGAGCACATGTACATCATGTTTGCTTCTTGTGCAAATATTCAATGTCAGTCAAGAATATCGATGAAATCTATCATGCGATTATAATTTTTCAAATAGAGAAACGTTTGTTATTTGAAACACAGCTCTAGTATTTATGTCACATAAATCAAAATCACTTTCATGTTTAGTTCAAAGAGTCAACTTCTAGCTACCTTCATCATTTTCATTGACTTATTGAATACCATTCAATTCTTAACATGTTTTACAGATTTTACATTGCACGACTGACATTTATAAGATGCAGTTAAAATTTATCAAACTTAAATATAGCGATATTAATAGTCTTTAAGAGAAAAATGGTGTGAACAGTTGTTTTGCAACGTTCTCATCATGATTTACGATGCTTCGATTGATATTTACGCTATTACTATCATCCTTATAACGAATACTATAGACTAAATACTAAACACATTTATTAGACGAAATTTCCTATAGAGTTGCAGGATTTCTTTTTCATCCAAACTGAATATTAATTGTTCATTTTGCGCTGCTTGTTGATCGACTAAATTCTAAAATTATAAGATCAAAGATTATACGATAATTTCCAACGAACCTACAACTATATGGCACTCAATGCGAAAACATCCACATTGCGATAATTATACGCTATTTCGGAATAATTCACAGGTTGATGAAAAATTCGTGTTTTTTTTTCTATTTGATCATGAGAAATTCATTTTCTGTAAAATATAATAACTTTCGAAGAGAAACGTTGCGAAATCAAGCATTACTAATCGTAACTACATCTGAATAAATGTCTGCGTAGTGTCATTTAGAAATGATTATTGATATCGTTTTTCTACAGTGTTACATTGATTTTTCATCGAAACTGTGTTTAATAAGGATTTTTCGAATATTAGGATGCATTTATTTCCATAATTACTATGACAACTTTGATTATACAAATAAAAAAAACCTAATCACGTATATAAAATTCACTTTCTTCTTTTTTACTGGTTCATGAAACATGCTAATTACATGAAAAAAAATGTCATACCTCGAACGCATGACAAACGGCTATTACACTGGGTGCGTGTAACCATACAATGGTCACACACTGTGCATATGACGTGCACATTATTTCATTTCTACCAACTGTATGAATTTAGGTGACATGTCTTCCAACAATGTATGAGTAAACATGGAAGAGAAATGTGTTAAGCAAAGTAAAATGATGAAGGTTGCCATTTCGATGCATTGATTTCTTTCACACATAATCAATAAAAGACATTGTGTGAAGAATGGTAAGAAAAAAAAAAATTTTATGCATTTTTTTCTAATTTGCATGTTGATCAATACTAGTTCACCATTATGGCTTCTAATTTCTCATGTACTGCTACTGATGAAACGGATTAACATCACCTTCGATTTATGGATGTGATCGGCGAACCTCAAGAAATGCTTTCATCGATCGAAGACTACGACAATATTTCTCTTGTTTCACTTATAGAAGCTATGAAACCCTCTTGTTGCTATTATATCTGACATAGACCATAAAGCGTGAATTGCTTGACTAAACTCAGATAATCCTGAAGACGAACTAACGCCTGAAGAATCAGCTTCAATTCGATTGTACTCGATGGATGGAAAATCACGAGAAACGAGCGTTTATTTTGTTCTGAATATCGCACTTGGCTCGAATGAACCAAATCATCTCGACAAACTCAAGCCTTGGTTTCTCTATTTGAAGCTCTTTATTACTGCTCTTACGCGGTTACCTTCACAGGTGTGAACTGTATACAGAGGAGTGAAGATGGACTTAAGTGCACGTTGTCTAGAAGACAAAACATTCATTTGGTGGGGATTCTCATCGCGCACGAAATCATTGGAAACTTTAAAAGCAGAACAATTATTGTGAGAGATAGGTGATCGAACTCTCATTGCTATTGAATACTTTTCAGGAAAAGATATTCAGCATCATTCGTATTCTGCTACAGACGACGAAATTCTTCTTATCGCCGCTCGACCATTCGAAGTTATTGCTTGTCATTCACAACTACCCAATCTTCACATTATTCAAGTGAAAGAAATCGAATCCACTTTTCCTCATCTGAAATAAGAGACAAACTATTCCTTGTTTTGTACATCGATTCTAAATTCAACCGAAGCACAGTCACAGATCAACGAAATTAAGCCTTACAATTCGCCATTTCTATATGAAGCATACGAACATCTGGGCTTAAATACAAACTGGGAAAAGAATGAAATAAACCGACGAATGGTTGTTCAAGCAGCAGCTCGTGGTATCGTCGAAGAAGGAAAGATACTCGACAATTCGGCGGAAGGAGGAAAGTTGAGTGGAATGCTTCTCAATCATAAAAATGGTACAATTGAAGAAGTCGTTCAATGCTGTGCTCATCTGCACGCACTTGAAAGCTTTCTTTACAAAAGTCTCACTGAGTCCATGCGTCTTGTTGAAAATGAAGACGAAACAAACAAAGGAATTTGGCATAGCAAAGTATCGACTTGGCGTCCTTTTGCTCTTTTGCTTAATTTAGCATTCACGTACAATGTATCTACAAACAAAGTTGCACTTTACAGAGGGGCGAACTTGCTCGAAGACCGAATTGACAGTTTTCGAGCAAATGTTGGAAAAGAGCGATCATTTCATGCATTCACATCTGGAAGTCGAAATAGAAACGCTGCAGCTGAAGTCGCTAATTGTCTCTTTATGCTTGATGGTTCTTATCCACATTTCGATGTTTCTCAATATTCAGAATATCCACAAGAAGAAGAAGAGCTCCTTCCACTTGGTCTCTGCTGTAGAATCGATCGAGTTTTATTTGATGCAACGGATCAGAATACATTTGATTTACTTTACTAATTAAAGCTACAGTAGCAATATTCATGTTTTTAAAGACTCTGCAAAGAACATTTATACAAATGCATGGTTCGGTAGAGTGTTTGTGGTTAGACGACAAGAACATTCATGCTCACATTTGCATCGGCTCATACGTATGATAAACATGTTCATTTAGCCAAAAGATGTTGTTTTTGAATTTTTTATTGTTTTGAGTGTTTCGATTTTCGCATGGATTTTTTTATTGTTTTTCAACTTAAGATTTTTTGACATGTAGAGAAATTTTGGATATTAGATTAATTCAACATTCTGATGATAACAAAATCTAATTGTCTCCGTATGGATATAGTCTTTTGACTTCTTCACAATAGTCATGTTGACTGGTGCAGGTCATCTAGATCGATGTTAAAATGACACTAAATCATCAAATCAAGGAAAATGGCTGCTTTCTAAACTACTGATAACTTTTGACCAAAGCATTATTAGATTTGGAAAAAAGATTGACATTTTCGTGTCAACTGTAGTTTTTTTTTAGGCAAAATATCAAAACCTATTTATATTCGATTCATCCTTAATATGCGATTACTTCTCGCAACCACCGATTATTCAAACAAGCACTGTATTCTTCTTCAGTTAATCAATAAATGTAATACGAATACCATTAAGTGAAATGTAGTATTCATTCATGAAGAAAAAATGATTTCATTAATTAACTAAACCATACAATTTTCTTTTTTACTTCTACATTTCTAAAGCAATAGAAAGCATCGAATTCAGTTGCATTGAAGAGAATGCAACCAAAAATCGTTAAAAAAATTATTAGTGAAAACCAATTGTGGTTGTTCCTCAATAAAATTATTGAATACTTTATCAAAACAGAATGTCAGAATGATACTCTTATTGCCTCAACGAATAATGATTTTTTCGTAGTCAAAGGCAAAATGGCATGTGGTCAATGATAGAGCCCTCGATCATCTATTTATTTCTTCTGCTCCGTTGGTTTTTTCGTTGCAGTATCAAAACGTAGATATGAAATAAAAAGTAACATGAGATATGATCAGAAACAATTTTATTTGAACAACTAACCAAAAGTTTGACACATAGATGGTTTCAACTGGTAATTCTTATCGACATCGGTCAATGTTCATTATATACAATACTGTCCAGAAATAAACTCGTTCGTAAAACCAGTTTGACATTATATGGTGACCATCATTGTCAGTCTCTACAATGATCTAACAGTCACGTTCGATTTTTCTCGTGCAATCCTAACTAATAGAAGGGCATATTCTATTCAAAAACATTCTATCATTCAGGTTAGTTTTCTTTCCCAGGAAATCATTTCTTGATTATTATTTTCATATATAAAAGATTTTAAACCAGAACCTACTTCCATTTATTAAGATAATCAAAGAAAATGAAGGCTATTTCTACAGTGAAAATTTTCTGATGTTTAGACGCCTTTAAAATATTTATACTCTACAACGACTTTTAACTCATGACAGTAATAATAAAGAAAACATAAGATACCATGCAGAGTTCTATTGCTGTGTTTTTTCTTGCTTGACAGGTTTTGGTGATTTCGTCGTTTCGATATAGGGTGCTTCAATATGTAATTGACCATCGTCTATTATTTGCGATTGTAATTTATCAACTTGCGCATCTAGTGGTAATGTAATTGATTTAGGAAAGAAAGATCGTCCGGAACAATTCTTGTCCTTATATTTATATTCGTCTTAAACTGTTAAATCATGATCTGTCACCGAAACTTTAACGAATTCAGGCTTGAAATTATTCATTGGCAAAGTAATTTCCAATTTTTTTTCTTCATTATTGCCCGTTTCAACGATACGTCGATGAACATCACCATCACCAAGAAAACCCACAAAATCAAATATGGGATCACGATATTGTCCAAATTGAGCTACTTCTTTTCTATCTTCAGCTTGAGCTTCATCAAGACGGCGTTCAATTTCCGGATGATGAATTGGTACTTCAACGACAAGCATATAATCCGGTGTAACGAACGATGCAATATTAGGGTTTAGGTGTGGGAGTAATCCTAACACCAACACTTATACCCACATCCACATCCACAGTCACACTCACACCCCATACCCACCTACATCCACACCCACAGCCACGGTCCAACCATATCCGCACCCACACCCTATACGTATAATCTAATTAGAAGTTCACAATTAATGTTTCATTTTAGAATCTTTTATCCCGGATTATCATCGTTTATTAAAGAACACATATTAAATATAAATTTCCTTTTTATCAGTCGAACATTTATTTTTTTTTTATTCTAAGAAACTGAAGAAGTTTTCGTTTCGAACAAGTAAATAAAACCGAAGAATTTTGTGGATAAAAAGTTTCTTAATGCATAAAATGTAACGATGAAAGTCTTAGCATCTTATAGCATATTTGCTGACAGGCACTGTGATTATTCTCTTAAATAAGCTGCTCAAAGACTAAGAAAAAATACACTTTTTATCTTCCTTTGTTATCAGTTGAGGAAATGCGAATCAAATTATTAAAATAAAAGAATTTATTTAAAAAAAGAAATTTATTAGTGAACATGTACGACGGTAAACGACAAATACAAAACTAATTATTTTAGAAGTTTATGTGTACTAAAATAAGTGCTTCATTCAATCCATTCAAGATAGAATCTCTAAATCTAGAGTTTCAAAATCAAATTAAAAGCCGAAATTGTCAAATGTTCGAAAGAAATTTTTTGCATCTTTTATTTTTTTTATCATAAATAATATTAAATGTACTTTAGTGTAGGAAATATGATAATTAGTTATTTTCAAGTTCTAATTGATCTTATTATTCAATATATTTAGTATTTCATCCGTCAATAATGTTGACTGAATTGTAGAGAGCAGTCATACACGCAATAGTGAACAGTTCACATGTTGTAATTGACCAGCTGATCCTGTTCTGATCGAGTGCACATACAACATATATATATGCTCGATAAACAATAAAATGACTATTGTTACTCAATTAGAAGATTTATCAAACGAAATATTTTTAGGAATATTAGAGTATTTAGATGCAGCAGATATTTGTTTTACATTTGCTTCACTTAATTCATATCTTTCATTAAGTCGAAATTCAATTTCTCTTCATATCAACATTCATTTTACTAAATTATTGCTTGCAGTTATAGTAAAAAATCAAGACCTCAGAATGATGAAAAATGATGAAAACAGTCATTATAGGTCAATAGGTGGTATTTTGTGGTTCAAAAAAAGCCATCATGCCGAGTGAAAGTTCACAGAATTTTTTTATCAAAGGTCTTAAGGTAGTGAGACCTTCAATCACTGAAACTTTCAGCTTGGCTTCTAAAGGTCACCGTAAACGTGGGAGATTTCCGGTGGAACCATCCTATTACTAATCCATAAATGCATTTCTCGTTCGTTCAATAATTTGAAAGTAAAATTTTTTAAATGAGTGTGGCTTCTCAACCATTGATCCAATTCTTCATAGTCATCGAAATAGTACAGTTCGTTATGAATAGTAATATTCTGTAAATATTTGAGTTTTTCGATAATTAATTCCAAATCTTCTTCGCTATAGACATGACAATTGAGTAAATGCTGCAGAGAAGGGAATGCCAAACAAAACTTGGTTACAATTTTCCTGGGCAAATATGTACGTCTCATATCGAGCCAACGTATTTGTGTATAATTGAAATGGATCATTCTGTAAAGGTGATTTTCCGAAGATGATGTTGTCAAACGAGTAAGGCGAGGTGCTATGGTGAGAAGTTGACTAAATAAAGAAGGAGTAATCGCACATGTGTCATCTAATTGTAAATGCACTAGTATCGACAAATCATTGATATATCTTTCGAGTTCGAACAGACTGGATACTAGGTAGCACTCTCTATCACGGTTGTTATGTTTCAATTGCAATATTTCAACATTGGAAAAACGATTTAAAGGAAGGATAGACGTTGCATTGAATGGTAAATCGATGGATAGTGTCTGATCTCGTACGATTAGTTGTTTGCAATCAATAGGTAACATACTGAATGGCGTCACACCGATGGTAAATGACCGAGAGCATTTTTCAATGTCCGTCCAAAATGGTGTTTGAAAGCGTTCAAGAAGTTGTTTCGCTACCGTCAGTTCAGGTAAAGGAATGAAATCAACCTCAATAAATAAATCATGACTTTATTTGAATAGTACGAAACAAAAAAAATCAATTTGATACATTATCACTAGAAAATAGGACTCGATACTGCGTAGGCTCTTAGTAAATCATTTTGAATGCAATCAAAGAGAAATTTCGATCGAATCAATTGGATATTTGCTAAATCGAGCTTCTAAGCAAACTAAATCATCAAAAGCATTTTCAAAAACTGATGAAAAGTATCTGAAAGTTTCTTTATCACAATCGTTTTGCAAAGAGGTATTTGTTTCTTCTGCTACAATTTTAAAAAAAGAGCTCAGAGATTCAGACTACCCTTGATGAATAAGCAACATTAATGTATTTAATACTGGAGTTTTTT